ATAACACAAGTGTCCTGTGCCCTGACTGTGCTGGTGACAACCGTACAAATCTATCAGGACTTATCCAACAGTACACGTAAAGTGAGTGCATTCTGCATGTCAATTTTGTCTCAATAAAATTTGTTTTTAGAAATTAAGCATTTGGAGCCTGACCCAGCCATCTCCTATAAGCAGGCAAGCCTTCCAGAGGAGGGACTGGGCCACCAGGTCAGCCACAAAGCCATCACCTGCACTTTGTCCTGTCTATAAGACGTGCTGGGGTAAAGTTGGTGTAGAATTGTGGGACTGGCCAACCAATGACTGGCTCAACTTGAGACCCATGCCAGACAGAGGGAGCCCACCCTTGACACTGCCTAGAGGGCCAGGAACCAAAGGTGTGAGAGCCCAGAGACCTACCTGGGATAGAACCAAACACAAATGGGGGGAAAAAAACCCAAAAACCTCTTAATGATACTCTGCTATGCTCACAGATTGGTGTCTAACCAGATGTCATCGAACGGCTTCATCCTTCAACTGATGGAAAGAGATGCAGAACCACAGCCAAACATCAGCTAGAGCCTGGGAAATCCCACAGAAGAGGGAGGAAGGGTTGAAGGAGCCAGAGGGATCCAGGACGCCACAAAAAGCCCCATAGACTCAATTAACCTGGGCTCAGAGGGGCTCGCAGAGACTAAATTGCCAACCAGGGAGCCTGCATGGGACTGACCTAGTCCTGCAGCACGTTACAGCTGTGTGGCTTGGTCTTTGTGTGAGACTCCAAACAGTGGGAGCAGGAGCTGTCTCTGAGTCTGTTGGCTGTCTTTGGAGCCCCTTCCCTTACTGGGCTGTCTTGTCTAGCATGAATAGGAGATAGACCTAGTCCTACTGCAACCTGACATTCCACGGCTGGTTGATACCCACGGGAGGCCTGCCCTTTCTTGAAGAGAAATGGAGGTGTGGATGGTGGGGGAGTGGAGGAAGGTAGGGTAGGGGAAGGTGAGGGGAGGGACTGGGAGGAAGGAGAAAGGGAAACTGAAGATGGGATGTAAAATTAAAAACAACCCACTGAACATCGAGTCCTCTTTGAAGGCCACAACAACCAGGAATGTTACTGACTTTCCTAATGTAAGAGCATATTTATGACATTTTCCCATATCCTGCTTTTATTTATTACCATTTTAAACATTTATCTATTCCTTTCTTTGTCTCTGTGTGTGCACAGCCTGAGTGCAGAGCTGGAGCAGTTCTCAGGGTTCCTCTCTCTCGCTCCATCTGGTGAGTTCTCAGGTCAGGCTTAACACAAACCCCTTCATCTGCAGCACTGTGTGGCCCAGGCATCATGCTTTAAATGTGATCACAAGCGAGAGGTCTAACTGCAGATAATCAGCACACTAACTGACGAGGGACTCCAGGGCTGCTCACCAGTTCTGGAAGAGGGCAGATGGTTCCAGTGTTCATGTACAATCCTTCCACGACGATGAACCGTCGAGTCACGCGCGCCTTGCGAGGATTCTAAAACCAAACCAGACATCTTAATTGTCATAATTCCAAATATAAATTGTTACTCCCAAGAACTTGCACCTCATAAATGATTTATTTAAAAAGGGGAGGAAAAAAAAAAAGGCCATGATGAATTAAAACTCAACTCTTGAGATCCTATTATTTTGACAGAAACACTAGTGAGAAAAAGCAGTTTCCGTTCTTAGGCAGTTTTCAGTGAATAACATCAGCCAGGTGACCTCGCACACCACTGGAGGCACCCTGACAGTATGAAAACATTGTCCCAGCCTGGAACAGCTGGGAGAAAGCCCAGGGGACGTAATGATGAAACACAGACTCACAAGGGATTACAAGGTAAACCCATTCAAGATTACACAGCTAGGAATCACACATTTCAGTCCAAGAGGAAATGTGAAAAATTCACAGTGAAGACCATTCTCAGCACTGTGGGCATGGCCTGAGGAGCAGGGTGAACTATAAATGGAGAAGCAGTGGGAGGGAGGGTGATAGTTACAGTGTGAAAGGGGCATGGTGTGTGTGTCTGTGTGTCTAAGTCTCTGTGTGTATATGTGTGTCTGTATGTCTCTGTGTGTGTGTGTGTACATTGTATTACTATATTTTCCCCTGTGTGTTAGCCATCTGTAACCACTGTCACCATAGCTGACCCACCAGTTAGTCAGGTAAAATCCAGTGGTAGAGTAGAGCGGCCTACCTCAGACAGTGTGCATCACCCTATACCTTGTGTAGAGCAGGCCACTAACCCATCACACCTAAGAACCCGCCGAGACTGCAGGTGCAACAGACTGGAGACTATTAAGACCAAGAGCACTCGTTCCCACTTCCTACTGGGACTGCATACTGTGCTCTGGTCATCATCACAGCAATGCATTCCAGGACCAGTGGGCGCTGTCTGCACAGAAGCACTTCTGCTCTGTAGAGGTATACATCAGAGAGGTTGCCAGGCTCCTGAAACTCACAGCTAAATGCTTTCAGGACGACAGTCTAGCTCTGTCAGGGTCACCGGGGAAACTGGACACCTGCAATCACACATACATCATCCGGACATCTCCCTTTCCCTAGTTCCTGCAAGGCTTCCTTACACACACCAGGCAAGTGTTCTACCACATCCCCGGGATTCATGGATCTGCTTGAGATTTCAAAATAGTCAATGTAAGAGGCTTAGGATGAGCAAAAATATATGGAAGGATTCTAAAGATTAGGTAGTCATTTTATACACGGGTAGCTTTTGTTATTCTTTTGATATTCTTTTACTCAAAACACAATTTTACCTTGTTCTTTTAAAAGATTTATTTTTATATGTATGAATGTTTTACTTACACATACACATGTGCACATATGCAGTGACCATAGAGGTCAGGAAGGCGTGGCATTGGACGCCATGGAACTGGAGTTCCAATGCTGAGATGAAGCTGCTTCTGCAAAGGCAGTGCGTGTTCTCAGTCACTGTGGTTGCTCTACAGCACTTTAAGACATGGCTTATGGAGACATCCCGCCGGCAGGAACACGGCTACCTCAGGACTCAGTGTTGGAGCAAGCAGCTACCTTCACTTGGCTTTTTATGTTGAACTATAAGAACGGGCCCATCTTTGAAATAACTTCTGCTTATCTTCTAGCGACAACATCTCAAGTAAGAGATATTTCTAAAAATACAATGTGAAGTTATGTAATAGCTACTTCTGGGAAAAAATGAAGTATAAATTACTTAGCAAAAAAGTGAAATTTAATTTCCAAGATACTTTTTTTTTTAGATTTATTTATTTATGAGTACATTGTTGCTGTCTTCAGACACACCATTAGAGGGCATCAGATCTCATTACAGATGGTTGTGAGCCACCATGTGGTTGCTGGGAATTGAACTCAGGACCTCCAGAAGAACAGTCAGTGCTCTTAACCGCTGAGCCATCTCTCCAGCCCCTCTAAGATACTTTTTTTAAAAAGTCCATTGAGAAGCTCCATAGATTATAAACCTTATGAAAAGTACACATGAAATTTGAGTATCACATCTCCAACATTTAGCCATGAAAAACTCAGGCAGACTTCTTCCTTAGTCATACTTTCCAAAATAGAATTTATTCCGGTGGCTGGGATATAGTACTTAGTCAGATTACAGGCCATCATCTTTTTAGTCTATTGAAAGAATTATTCTGTGGGACAGACTCAATTTCAGAATTTCTTTAGCCTTTTCTTAATTGTATAAATATGGAACACTGGCTGACAGCATATTGAGCACAAAAACGGTGAGTTTATGCATATTCAATGACTGTGTGCATATTCATGAAGTATCTATTACACAGGATGACTCCTAAACACAGATCACAGAATTCTAAATGAATAATGCAAATATTTGGAAAAACTGAAATTAACACAAAACCAAAGAAAGCAGTCGAGTATCTCATCAGTTACTCTCGTCATGAATGAGCTGTGTGGGCAAGGTCCATCTGAAAGGGACACTTGAGATGTGACAACTGGGCTTCCAAGACCATCCACATTTCACGGAGTCGGTCCTGCTGCAGAGCCAGCCAGCTGGACTCCCCATCCACACTGCCCAAAAAAGTGAGTCATAATCCTCCCAATGATGCTGTAGACACACTCCAACGATGCCAGGGAGACACTCTCTAATCACTACCACTAGGGATCCTCAAGGCACCTAGGCATTCCCTCCTCAGGGTGGCTGTTCCCACAGCAGCCGCTTGGAGCTTCAGGAGGCTAAGATTTGACGGCGTAAATAAGTATGCTAGGAAGTTGATCCATGCATCCCAGTACAGCCTTAGTGTGTTCTGCAGCTGCTCTGAAGAGTCTCCTGAAGGGCAGGCTGTTGCTCTCCTCTCAGACTCCGTGGAAAGCTGCCCCAACTGTCTAAATGTGACAAGGCTCTCCAGGCCGAGAGATGTTTAATCAGCAGGAACACCCTTACTTCATATCCAAATGCGATCCGCAGGCAAGTTTTCAATGACAAATTACCATCTCATCTATAATTTAGCTGCTTAGGAAGTACAAAGAGCTACACAGTTGCCTTCAAAAGGATCCTACCTTTTGATCTTCAATCTCTTGTTCTTTCAGCAGTCGCTCCAGGTCAGCTACATCATTATGCTTAAATAACTTAATGTCACTGCGTGATGCCTGTAATCCTTTCTGGATAGCAAAGCAGGCCGCACTGTCCCTGCAAGGAGGAGAGGCACCAAACTGAGGTTAAAGGGCCTTGTCAACATTCTCAGAAGAAGAATGCTTGCTTGTGTAAGTGGGCCAGCCTCCAACTGTTACCTGGAACACAGCAAATAGAAGGTGTCTGAGCGCTCACACCACTGTTTGCTCTTCACTCTGCACATCCTGTCCATATGACTACTTCACTTAATCTTTCAAAGAAATACAGCTAGCTGCATCCTGACCACTCTGAACTCGGGACCCACGCTGTGGATGGCATCTGAGCTTACTCAGATGTTCCTCTTTCTAAGAACCTTGGAAGGCACTGGTGATCTCACCTCCAGTGGCAGTTCTGTTTACCTGATGGCATTTCATCATGATCCATAAAAAAACACTGGTGGGGGCTGGTGATGGTTCAGTGGTTAAGAGGTTCTGAGTTCAATTCCCAGAAACTACGTGAGGGCTCACAACCGTCTGTAATGGGATCCATGCCCTCTAATGGTGTGTCTGAAGACAGCTACAGTGTGCTCATATACATTAAATAAATAAATAAATAAATAAATAAATGTGGTGGTGGTGCATATCTTTAATCCCAGCACTTGGGAGGCAGAGGCAGGTAGATTTCTCAGTTCGGGCCAGCCTGGTCTACAGAGTGAGCTCCAGGACAGCCAGGGCTACACAGAGAAACCCTGTCTCAAAAAACCAAATCCCCCCCAAACAACAACAACAACAACAATAAAAAAAAACCCTAAAAAAAATTTTTAAAAAGAAACACTGGCAGTCTAGCTGCAAGCAGAGATTCTGGGCAACAACCACCTAAGCACAGTCAAGAAGCACAGGGGATTTGTCTAACCTCGGTCACAGGGAACCTGGTCTAACCTCACTTGCCCAACCCAGCTGAGGTGAGGGAAGAATTTGCAGGGAAGAATTTGCCTTTGGCCTTTGAGGGCTATGAGGACGGTAGCCTGCACCTTCTCTGGGAATAAACTTCTACCCCACATTGTAACAATGAAGCACCAGACATTTCCTGGTGGGTGTGGTCAGGTCCTGGTGGGTGTGGTCAGAAGTAATACCAAGGAAAGTCATAACTGTCACCATCACCCAGAAGCAATGAAGAAACTCTGACCTTGGGTACCAAGCTGAAGCGGGGACAACATAGTAGCCCCCCTCCTCCTATTTCCCCAGCGTCAGTGACAGCCGACCCAGACAGACGGCACCGCAACAGAAACACAACTGAGTTAGCAGGGGAACTATCACAGTGCTGTTAGTTGGACCACACTTACAGCTTCCTCGGGGTACATGTGACCTGTGGGCAGCAGTCAGACAGATACCCACAGAACACAGAGTGGAGCCACAGGACAGGAGAATCCCTAGGTGCCAACAACTCAGCATCACCTCCATCCAATGTCCCTCGTGCCACTAAGCTGACAGGGCCCAAGATGACCTGGGAGCAAACTCAAAGGAGCCAGGAAAAAAAATGCTTCATTGAGCAGTTACCAACACACCTGAAACAAGTCAGCTAAAAACAGACAGCCTGAGCAAACAGAAGCTACAGAGAGAATCCTACAGAGACAGCATTCCAAAAAATAAAATAGCCAAGGAGGCACACAGCAGTGCAGAGGGAAAGGATCAGTGAACAGAAAGACATAACTGAAGCAAGTCACTGCATGCCAGAGAGAAACAGCTGGGAAGAAGAGAGCAGAGCTCCAGGAAGTTATGACCAGTGAGCCAACATCTGTGTCAGTAGTCACAGGAGAAGGGAACCACAGACTGACGCAAAGAATCTGGCTATAACCCTAATACACGTAATACGACTTAAGGACAGTGAACAAACCCCAAACAGGTAAGGCCGAAGAAGAACCACAGGGCTACAGTGAAACACTACCCTCTGCAGGCTCTAGAGGCCTCAAATGCATGCATAACCCAACTTGCCTTAAGTCATTTAGCACCTGTCTAGGTGGCCCAGGGATTGCCTTCACCCATTACAGTGTGGTCTAAGACTTCATTCAAGAAGGTACAATAAGAAAAGCAGAGATTTGGCTTCAGAGTGTCAAACAGGAGAAACTTAACACAAAGAAGGCACAAATTCTGCCAACTCCCTGCCTCAGGTCTGAGGATAACACCCTGGTAATAGAGCATGCCTTGGTGTAAGAGAAACTTCTGTAGGAGACATGATCGCCCATGCCAATTGCACTGACCGTGGGTCATGAGTCAGTCCAGAGTAGGTGTGTTCTGGTGTGTTGCCCGTGATGTGCGGGTTTGGGACCTTTGGTATCACACAGTTTGGCAGTTTTGCCAGCACAGGTATGGCACAGGAAGCAGAGTTGATTATGCCACGTTGAACAGAATTCTGTAGTACCTGACTGTATGCCAGTGACATCCAGAAGAAGCTTCCTGGGCCTATGGCTGGGGCTTGTGAAACCTTACTAACCTTTCTAGGTACTTCAGCTTCATCCCTACACAACCCACCATCTATGAATTTGACAAGAACTTGGGCTTGGATTGCCCTCTAGTGTTCAAAGAGTGGCAATACAACAGATCACTTTTGGTCAACCTGGTCTTGGGCATGCTAATTAAACCAGCTTAAGAAGATAAGTCATGATTCCTTCAGTGCCCAGATGAAGTTTCACACCAAAACCATCAAGAGCTTTCAACACCTAGGACCTCGGGCTGGGAGAGCTGCCTCAGCCATGACAAGCACTGCTGCTCTACAGAGGACCTGGGTTCAATTCCCAACAGAACGTGGTGCCTAGGGGACCACATTTAACTCCAGTTCCAGGAGATTTGACATCCTCTTCTGACCTCTGTGGGCACTGCACACACATGGTGTGAACATATATACATTCAGACAAAACACCCACATGTTAAATACAAATCTTAAAAAGTAAAACCTCACTATGCCAAAATAAGGTAGCAGAAGCTGACTACACAGTAATCAGTGATGGGGAGGACTCATGGGAGGACTCACAACAGCATTCTCAGGAAACCCAAGGAGCTCAGAGGAAGCACGGATAAACTTCTCAGTATTCTAACACAGAAACTGACAGGAAGAAACAAGAACTGTGTAGAGCTAAAAAGCACACTGAGCAAAACAGAAAGCATGACAGGAGGCGTCAGCACCAGAGAGGTCAGAAACGGGAGAAAGTCACTGAGCTCAGAGACAGAACGACCATTTGCAAACATTTACCTGGAGTGGAGGAAAAGAAATCGTGGTGAAGATAACTTTCACAGGGGCTTTGGGGCAGCATTAAAAAGCAAATATCTATGAGGGTGAAAAAGGATACGAGGGTACCAACCAGGTAGAAAACTTCTGGAAAGGACAGCCATACACACACATACACACACACACACACACACACACACACACACACACACACACGGACAGGAAGATAAAAGGTCATCATGAGTCAGATTTAATGAAGACGAAGGTAAGGAAAGGTATTTCCAGCAATAGCAGGAAGAGTCTACCTCCACCCAGAACTCTTGGAAGAATTCTAAAGGGAATAAATAGTTCTGCATATGCACAGAGAGGCCAATACTGTAAACAATGAGTATAAACCACGCTTATCTTCAGTACAATTTAAAAATGGGTGCGAAACCCCCTGAAGTGATTAATATTTTAGTAGGTTAAGATAATCAGCAAGGAAAGATATAAAATATATCCCTAAAGTGTGCATAGGATTGGGAGGACGGTGCAGTGGTTAAAGTGCTTGCTTATAAGCATGAGGGCTGGAGCCTGGAGTCCCAGACTCCATGTAAATGCCCTGTACGGAGAAGAGCTCTGCAGGGCAAGTCAGCCAGCTGGACAGACGACCCATCAGTGGGCTCAGGGTTTCACTGAGACCCTACCTCACTGAGTAAGGTAGAACAACAACACTGGCTGACTCCAAACACCAACCTCGGGCTTTCACATACATGTGCACACATGTAAAGGGGAGGGAAGAGTGCAAGAGCAACATCTCCTTACTAGCTTATCTTCACTTTGTTTCTGTCCTTATGTTTATGATGTATAAGTTACAGTCATTGAAAACAGCTTGTTATAGTAAAAAGATGCTTTTGTAAACCTCATGGCAAATGCAAAGATGCTAGCAACTACTGATAGGAGCTCCTCAACCAGCAGCTTTCTCCTTGCAGTAAATAGCACACCATGCACTCAGGGAATACACCTGAGTTTGTGGACTTGCCGTAGGCAGTCAGGGATATCCCTACCTGGTGGCCCTTATATCCCTTTAAAAACGATTTATTCTTATTTTATTTGTATGAGTGATTGTCTGATCATATATGCCTGGTATCCAAGTAAGCCAGAGAGGGCATCAGATATCCTGGAACTGGAGGTTCAGATAGTTGTCGCTATTCTATGGGAACCATCCGAGTCCAGCGCAACAGCAGCCAGTGCTCTGAAGCACGGAGCTGCTGTCCCTGCCTCAGCTCCTATCCTCAATGAGCACTGAGGCAAGATCAGCAGAGACCTGGAAATGAGGAAGGATGGGTGAGGAGGAGCATGTGACGTTTCCAGGCACAGTAAGCAATATGAGGTTGTGACCATGATAGGGCCACAGAGCTGACAGGGATGGAGAGGGCATGCCTCATTTGGACATCAACAAAACCAATCATGGAGTGTGAGATCTGTGCTGTCAAGCATCTTACGGGTGAGGGTCCTGACTGGGAAAAGCAAACATGTAACAAACAAATCAGAACAAGAAACCCCAACAGATCTCTTCTTTCTTTCAGCAGGTGACTTCCAACGAGGACCTGATGACCCTGGCAGCACAGTGCTGTTTCAGACAAATGTGGTCAGAAGCGTAGGTGAAGGCACTTACACAAAAACGATGTCCCCTCTCTTAGAGTATGCAGGAATCGCACTGGCTATGGTGGAGAAGCCATACGAGTAAATGATGGCTTCTTCGGTCTTCATAAATTTTGCCAGGCGGTCTTCCAAATCCAGATGGACATCTATTTTAAGAAAAAAGTTAAAACAGTTAAACTGTCTTGTAACTCTTTTTCGTTTGCTAACAAATGATAAAAAGTACATAGTTTAATTACTGCCCCTTTCACCTTACAGACAAAATGGAATTTTAAAAGTATGTATTTATTTGCATGCGTGTGTCACAGTCCATGTGTGGTGGTCAGAGGACAACTTGTGAGAATTAACTGTCTCCATCTAGTATTTTAATTCTGGAGAATCAAACTCAAGTCTTCAGGTTTGGCAGCAAGTAAGCTTACCTACAGAGCCCTTTTACCAGCCCCTAAAATGGAATAAAAAACCAAAACAACAACCCCCCACCAGAAAACCCCCAGAAGATTAAGATAACTTTGGTCTCAAAGTTCTTGTGAGACATGAACTAAAAGCAGTTCCCTATCTCCCTATCTCTAAGCATGGCAGATGGAGACCGCAACTTAGCTACAGACTTCTTAAGTGTTCCAGAAGCTAGGCACTGACAACTGATACTATTGTGATGGGGCAGTGGCAGACCATGAAGCAGGGCAGCTTTGCCTCCTCACCTCTGCGACCAGGATCCTACAACCAACGACTTTACTTACCTCACTCACTTCAACTCCCCTTGACACTTTACTGAGGCGTTGCCACTTACACGAGCGGCCTTTACACCTTAGCAAAAAGACTTGACCTACTCTGCATAAAACATGCTAGAACTCATGTGGCCTCTTCTCCAGCAGCCCAGGTTAGCACTCAAGTACAGCACGTGTATACTGGGGAAATTCAAATTCCCAGTACCAACAGAAATCAGGTAGAAGCAGCTTAAGAATGCTGGTATAAATCCACAGACCCACAGAGGGTACGTATATAGTAAGGGACTAAGGGGCGTAGGAAAGGGAACAGAATAGTTATGGATGGATGGGTGTGTGTGTTTGTGTGTGCTGGAACAGGAGGATCAAGTAAGGAGGAGAAGGGGAGAAGAGAAGGAGGGAGGGAACACAGAGAGAAACAGTTAAATAAGGACCATTTGAAGGGTAGCACGAAAACTGTATGGAGTAGCTTTCTAAGATATATACGTATATGAAGGCAATCCAAATGAAATCTCTAAACAATGGGGAAAGAGAGATCACCAGCTGGCTATCTCTTGTAACCAAATGAAGCTTTCAGTAACAGGACTGGATGGCATTTAATGGGGCCAAGAGGATCCCATGGAAATCTTAAACAATCCAGGCTGTTGCTAAGACTATAGGCTATTCTCCACAAACCGATGCAAGGTTCCATTGCTGATGCTAACACATAACTCATGGAACCTGAGGACGTCTAGCTGGTCTCTACATGGAGCCTCCATTCTTATGTTCTGGCATCTCTGGTACAGGAACGTACTCTTGCATGGTACTAAAGAAAAAGTAAACACCATACCGGTCACAACCCTCTAGTCTGCAATGCTGGCCTGCATGCACGATGGTAGCACAAAATTTGTGGGAATAAGCAACCAATACTTGATTTGACTTAAGGCCCTTCCCGTGAGATGGAACTCATACACAACACTGCTTGAAGGACCAAGCACCATACTCAGATCAATACCTTGCTCAGCCATCATCAAAAAAGCTTCCTCCTATAGCAGATAGGAACAGACATAGAGACCCATGTGATAGCTAGTCTTGCTGTCAACTTGACTATATCTGGAAGGAACTAGAATCCAATGGAGGGCACACCTGTGCGAGATTATTTTAGCTTGGTTTGAAGTGGGAGAATTCACTTCCAGTCTGGATCTTTGAGGTAGGAACACACACACCTTTGATCTGGATCTTGAGGTGGGAAGATGCACCTTGAATCTGGGCCATGGAAGAAGGAAGCTTTTGCTCACTGTCTGCTTGCCCCAGCCTTGCTAGCACATATATTCCTTCACTGGCATTGGAGCCTATTTCTTTGGAATTCTAGCATATACTGAAATAAAGACTAGCCAAGAAATCCAGCCTTGTGGACTGAGCGATTACTGGATTTTTGGCTTTTCTTTTCACAGTCAGCCATTGTTGATTAGCTGGATTGTAGCTGGATGTAGTCATTCCAATAAATCCTCACAATGTGCGCGTGTGTGCGCACACACGCGCGCACACACACACCCCCCTCTCTCTAAGTTCTGTTACTCTAGAGAACCCTGATTAATATACATCACAGAGAGGCAGAGTCTCTGATTCTTGTGCGGTCTCTTGGGCTCCTTTCCTTCTGTCTGTCTCCCCCACCTCCACTGTGTTAGTTTTGCTTCATCTGACTCTGTTCTGTCCTATTGTATTAGTAGCCCTCAGAAGCCTGTTTGTTTTCTAATGACAGACAGAAAGGGAATTGATCTCCAAAGGAGTGGAAACCATAATCAGGATATATTATATGAGAAAAAAAATCTATTTTCAATAAAAGTGGGAAAACTGGTATAACAGATAAATTTTAATCGTGAGCTGACATATTCGGTCATTCTAAAATCATGGTTCTTTGCATCCTTTCAATGCAGTCTGAGCAATTAACACATGTCCAGAAGGAAGGATATCAGTTTCTGGGACAGCTCATCACCAACTGGCTCAGTCTTAGGGCATCAAAGTCCCTTAAAAAGGAGGCATTCTGAGGGAGTATTGGATCATAAACACTCCTTTACCCTGTCCATGCTCACGCCTGAAGGAGACCAGCTTCACCACATGCTCTGTGCAGGGAGTACTTCCAGCACAGGGAGGCAAACTGGCTCTGGTCCTTACCACTAACACAGGCAGGAGTAGGCAGGGGAGGAAGGAGTCAGGGTGTGTCAACTGAGGAGACTCTAAGTAATGGCAAGGGCAGGGAACTGGAGGGAGTGGCAACGGCAGATCCCAGATCAGCTAGATTCTTTAAAAGGTCCTAGAATTTTGAAAACAAACAGCAGATCCCATTTCAAGCAAGCAGAGACATAGCATGCTTGTCCACACTCACTGGCTACAATGTCTATGGGCTACCTCACTGTAAGGAACAGGACGCCCTTACTGGAAGGAATACACTGCCAATGGCCTCAAGTCAAGTCACAGCTAAACTTACCTCAACATTAAGTAAATGTGGCTTCCATATGACTAAGTTGAAGTTCCTCAGCAAGTCCTAGACCTATGACACTAACACAGACAGAGCCTAAGGCATGTTGCTGCCCAGAGAAATGTCACCAGGAAAAAGGCTTCAGGTAAAATGGCCAGAAAGAAACAAGAAAGCAACAAGGACTTTATAGCTGCTTCCTCCCCAAGTTGCTAACCACGGGTCAGTCTGAGGCATATCTTCCTTCCATTCTCTACCATAGTCTGGAGCATCATAGCCTGTGCCTCTCAGGTCCAGACATAAGACCCCTTTTAACTACAGCCCTGCCTCTGGCTGGGAGTCTACCATAACCTTCAGCGTATAGCTGGCAGGTGGTTAGTCCAGGCTACCAGGTCATGGTGAATTACTCTCGTTTGAGAGCTCCATTTCAGATGCTATGCAGCCTGTCACTTAGGAAGCAGATACAACATTGTTACTAACACTGAAAGGGCTTATCAGCTCTCCAGATTCTGGTCACTGGTGAGAGATGAGGCTGAGAAGCTGGGCATACCAGAGCTTGTCCCAAGGTCTTAGAGGAAGGCCTGCAGCGATAGGAACTGTGTCAGATCAGAGCATGCTCATCACTGTGTGCCTCAAAACCTATGTACATTCAGGTGCAGGGGAGCATGCTCATCACTGTGCTCACTGATGGCCGCTCACACACAGTTACACAGCTAGCTGCAGCATGCTAGGCTGGAGAATCAGAGAGGAACCAATGACTTGCCTCGTCCTCTGAGTTTCAGAACCCTTGGCCTTTCTTCCTATCTAACCACACAGATTTTGGCTGGCGTCAGTCTTGCAGAGCAGGTTCTGTGAGGGGTCAACATGGGCGAGTGCAGAACTTGTTCCTCCTGATGCTGGATTGTGAGTGCACACACTCCCATCCCAGGGAGGGGGCAGCAGGAAAAACTAGCAGGTGCTATTGGCTGACTGCTGACAGCCCTGTCTTCTGTCTAGATCCGCCCAGGCCAGGGAGGCTCCAACTACACATGGAGTCAAGTCAAGCACTGGACTTTATAACTCGAATCAGCAGAGATGAGGCCAGCACGAGGAGGTCCCTAAAGCCGCAGATGCTTCACGACCCACCAGTCCTTTGTCAAACCTCACCAGAGCCTGAGACAGGAGGCCTGACCACTGAGATTCCCTAGAACGCAGGCCGCAGCCAGGATTCTAGGAGGTTTTTGCTGGGCCCCCACCATTGGGTGCACACCCACACAAGTCTGAACCTCTTCCACGCCTCACAATATCTCCTCTGACAAGCATGGAACAGCCACATCTTCTTCAAAGGGACACTGAGAGGACACAGAATTTAACATCAATAAAACACTCAGAACAGTACCCAGCTCTGAAAAAGACTGTTCAATTAAAGTAATATCTAGGAGAAAAGGTTTTACCTCAAAAAAATAAATAAATAAAAATCTGGTTATCCCTTATCTTTTAATGACATTATGAGAATTTACAGTTGTTAACACTTATTTTCTGCAGGCTACTTGTCTGGCTTCATTTACAACGAAGAAACAGCATACCCTGCTGGTTAGCTTCAAAGGAAAGCCTAGGAAACAACTAACTTCACAATAGTTCAAATTCAATTTAAGACATTTTCTTTTGAGAACTTTCTATCTTTATGTAAGTACTATTCTTTTCTTTTTGTGGGTGCAGGTGGTGGTTTGAGACAGCGTTTTTCTATGTAGCTTGGCTATCCTGTAGACCAGGCTTGCTCAGAATTCAGAGATCCACTTGCCCCTGCCTCTGTAGCACTGGGATTAAAGCCATGTGCCACCATGACCCACTTAATAAATACTATTCTAAAAAAAAAACCCAAAAATCAAAAAACTTCCTTGGCCACTGAGATGGCTTAGCAGGCAGAAGCCCTTGCTACCAGGCCTGATGACCTGAATTTGGTTCCTAGAACATACATGGTAGAGGGGCAAAACTACAAACGGCTTTCTCCCTTCACAGGAGCTGTAGCATAAGCCCCTTCCCACACATAAGCAAAAAAGTGAAAATCTGAAACTCCTGAGATACAGGAGACATTAGGTCAGCTACTTGGGAGGCCGAGGCAGAAAGATCTTAAGTTAAGGCCACCCTGGACAACTTAGTGAGACCCTGACTCAAAATGAACATGCACACATACACACTTACTTTTTCCTGAAAGTAAAACCAACAGTACTTATGTATTCAACTGTCAGGATGACTGTTTGGATCCTGTGACTCTTACTGAAATGCTCTGAGCTATGTGCCTGAGGACTGCTCCCCTCACCTAAAAACCATGATCTTATGACTACAAGAAAAGCAGCAGTTGATCTAGGCGTCTGAAGAACACGTGTTCTTGGCCCTCAGAGGCAGCCCCGCTGACTACTCTCACATGTTAAAGACCACCCACTGGAGGTTTACTGCTATACAGTGATGTCTTTTGACTCAGAGTACGAGCAAGAAGTCAGTTAGGATTGTCTGCACTAGACCACTCCCAAGGCCACAGAGGGCAGCACAGGAAGTAAGGATGGCTTCCATGTACCCAAACAGGGAAAGGTTGGAATGAACAGGCACCAACACACCCTCCTGAACACAGGACCTAAGCACCCTGAAGGCAGATAAGGCTCTCTGCTCAAACCACACACAAGTATGTGGGAAACATTCCAATCATGACCCTGTAGTGGCTTTTAAACCACAATTAACAACACATATCAGCAGTACAACTTAGTAGATTTGCCATGTGGTGTCTAAACATGATGTGCATGTTGTGGGTGGACCACTGTAAGAACTCGATGTTCAGTTCTCTCAGTCAGACTTCTGGGAGGAAGGCCACATGTCCCACAGTTTACATACACATTACCTTGACCATTGCCCTTCTGTCTTTCTGTTACAGTAAATGGTCGAAAAGAACTAAAACCAAAACCAAACACTTCTTTTGGACGCATGCACTCGTACAAGTGTGCATATGTCATGATCAGAGGATGACTTAAGAGAGTGAGTTCTCGCTTCCCTTTCCTGCTCAGTCATCTCACAGGCCTGGGAGGATGCTTTAACAAGAAGACTTACTTATGTAAGGGGTTTATGTTCATTGTCCACAAGTTAAGAAAAGACCTAAAAGAGGGATAGAACTTTGAAAACAGATGCCCAAATGCACACCAAGGAGAGAAGAAGATCAGATTAAAAGCAACCTTTGTGGGTTAGGGAAAGAAATTCTAAGCCCTGAGCTATAGAGTTCAAATAAACCCAACGAGTACAAAGAAGAGGGTTCTCACCTCTGCCTCGGGGCTCAGTGCAAAGGGTGTCTGCATGCTCAGTGACAACTCAGGGCTGTTGCAGAGGTTTGAAATTTAGCCTAAGACACTCAAGTAGTGCCTCTGATTTTCCTGAATGCTAGAATTCCAAGGCAGGTCACTATAATTATTATGAAAATCGCTTCTAGAGTTAAGACGGAAAACTCGCAACCAAACAAACAGAAAAAAAAACCTACTAGAAAATAGGATAAGAAGTCTAAGATCGCACATACATCCACAGAGGAAGCAGATTGACAGGTCCCGCCCTGTAGCACATGAGCCTGCAGCCCTGCTCAAACAAGCCTTCAGTCATGGACAGAGGGAGTGACTGGTCTACAAAGTCATTTGCAAGTATTTCTAAACCTGTATATTCACTATATGCCTCTGGTGGCCATTCAGATACCAATTTAAACTTACAATATACTCATTTGTGGAGCTGGGGTACAGCTCAGAGGACAAACATACCCAGAACACACAGACTGTGGATTTAAATTACACCCACACCATCTACGGAAGCTATTTGTAACTGACACCTGCTTGGCAAAAAATAAAAAGCCACTGCCCCCCATGGAGCGTCACTTGTGTGTCACCCACACTCCAGGGCAAGCCTCACGCCCAGGTATAGTTGGCAAACACAAATCAGACTGCGAGAGTGTAGAGAGTGTAGGGTGGGCTTCATTTGCTTTGCTTTGTTTAAGCATTTTTGTCTTCCTTTTCTTCTTTTTTAAAAGAAATGCAAATCAAAACAACCCTGAGATTCCATCTCACACCAGTCAGAATGGCTAAGATTAAAAACTCAGGTGATAGTAGATGCTGGCGAGGGTGTGGAGAAAGAGGAACACTCCTCCATTGTTGGTGGGACTGCAAGATGGTGCAACCACTTTGGAAATCAGTCTGGCGGTTCCTCAGAAAATTGGACATAGCATTACCCGAGGATCCAGCTATTCCACTCCTAGGCATATACCCAGAAGATGCTCGAACATATAATAAGGACATATGCTCAACTATGTTCATAGCAGCCTTATTTATAATAGCCAGGAGCTGGAAAGAACCCAGATGTCCTTCAACTGAGGAATGGATTCAAAAAATGTGGTATATTTACACAATGGAGTATTACTCAGCTATTAAAAACAATGAATTCGAGAGGTTCCTAGGTAAATGGATGGAACTAGAAATTATCATCCTGAGTGAGGTAAGCCAATCACAAAAGAACACACATGGTATTCACTCACTGATTATTGGATATTAGCCTAGAACCTTGAAATGTCCAGGATGCAACTCACAGGCCACATGAAGCCCATAAAGAAGGAAGACCAAGTGAGGGTGATTCGGTCCTTCTTAGAAGGAGCAACAAAATACTCAAGGGAGCAAATATGGAGACAAAGTGAGGGACAGAAACTGAAGGAGGGGCCGTCTCAAGACCACCCCACCTGAGTATCTATCCCATGTGCAATCACCAAAGGTAGATGCTGATGTGGAAGACAGGAAGTGCATGCTGATAAGAGCCTGATATGGATATCTCCTCAGAGGCCTTCAAGAGTCAGACATATTCAGAGGCAGATGCTCACAACTAGCCATTGAACTGATCATGGGGTTCTCAATAGAGGAGTTAGAGTGAAGACTGAAGGAGCTGAAAGGGTTTGTGGCACCATGAGGAGAGCAACAATACCAACCAACCACAGCTCCCAGGGTCTAAACCACCAGCCTGGGAGCACTTAGGGGGGGATCCAGGGCTTCAGCTGAATATGTAAAAGTGGAGGGCCCTGCTGGGCATAGGTAGAAGAAGAGAACCTTGACCTCATGAAGGCTGGATGCCCCAGGGGGTGGGAATTTTGAGGGTGGGGAGGTGGGAGTGGGGGGGGTGTAGATAGAGGTTACATCCACAGAGAAGAAGGAGGAGGGGCGAGGGGATTGGAGGTTCCGAGGGGGTGGTGGGGGATGGGGTAAGGGGACAACATAGGAAATGTAAATAAATCATCCAATAAAAAAAAAAATAAATTACTGGAAAAAAAAAAAAAAAAAGAAAGAAAATGAACATGACCTAGGAGGAGTTGGGGGAGGGAACAGAATCAAAGTATATTGTATAAATAAAAAAATTTGAAAAAGAAAGCAAAGAAAAATTAGAACTCAGAACATGTAAAACAGTTTTATTTTTGCAAAAATGGGAGAAATGCACACATATGGACATCATCTGTGTGTGCTTAGGAAAAGTCCACAGCAGAGCTAACAAGAAATGGTTTTGTGTTAAGGGTGAGGTGGAGGCTTCCTTCCATAAGAGGGTCAGGTAGGGTAAGGCCTCATGTCTGAACCTCGTACTGGGTTCCTCAGCGAGGAGTGCTATGTGACTGCATCTAGTGCATGCTTGCCAAGTGTCTCCAAGGAGAATGGAGCCATTCTAACCACACTTTCATAGCTCTGGGAAATCATTCTTAAAGTTCCACCCTCTTCTGATATAGCAACATATTTTATCTGTCTTCCCAGATCAACTCCTAAGCAGCAAATCAAGGCTACGTGACAAAAGAGACTGTGAAGAAAGCAGTTTCTGGGGTAGGTTGGTGGTGCAAGTATACTTTTAGTTCAAAGAGACAAAGAAGAAGAAAGGAGGAGGAGGAGGAGGAAGAGAAAGCGGAGAAGGATGAAGAGGAGAAAGGGAAGAGGAGGGAGAAGAGAAGAGGGAAGAAGAGGAGAAGAAGGAAGAGAAGGAGGAAGAAGAAGATGAGGAAAAGGAGGAGGAAGAGAAGGAGGAGGGAGAGGAGGAGGAGGAAGAAGAAGAGGAGGAGGAAGAGAAGGCAGCTTCTTTATGCTGGCAAACTCACAATGAGTGGGCCTCGTAAATCAGGTGACAGTCTACAACCCCAGTAAAAAGCAACTTTTCTGTTTTCTAGTCCTACACCAAAGAAGCAATTCCCTACTCATGAGAACCAGGCAAACCCTTCTGCTAGCCTTAGACTAGTCTCTCACGTGGTCTGGCAGTGGGACTGGCTTGAGCTCCGTCCTCTTATCCAGCCGTTTGAGCAGGAGCTCACACACAGACACTGGTGACCTCCACCCTCAATGAAGAAAGAAAAAAAGCTACAATCACAACCCGGTAAAGTGTTCACACTTTCTCCATGGTACTTGCTGCCCAGGGCTCTTTGTCAGCCTTGTCTTTGGATCAGATGTGGCCTGCTGTTAGTTCTTGCCAGTGGCTGGTGGGAGAGTTGCAATGCTGCCTGTCCTGGGGGAATGCACCGTTGCCTGCCCTCTCGCCCCACAGCACTGTGACACTAGACATGGATCCCCATGACTACAAAGAGCGAGCCCCAGCTGTTGGCCCATTCATCCAACGAGAACCATGCACAACCGAGAGCCCGTTCCTAGCACATGCATTGGGACACCTGCAGTAGAGCCCAGCGCAGGAGGCACATCCTCGGCTCTCCCGGCTCCGCCCTCTACGTCCCACACATGCTCCCCGATGGGACTAAATGAAACGTGTACACGCACAGCTTGACAGTTAAGAACACTTCCAGGAGCTTCAGAGTCAAACAGATCCCCCAAGGGAGTCTGAAAACATGCACGTACCAAATGTGCCGTAGAATCCTCGAGGCCCGCAGGTGCCCACACCATACTTCTTTAAAGACGAGAATGCTGCGGCCTGCACGGAAGCAAACTTGTGATGATTCCCTGTGCACAGTGCAGACGACCCTTCCTAGTCTTGGCCCCACATGGCTCCTCCTCCCTGCCCCCACTTGCCCTTCCCTCTTGTGACTACAGCAACTCTCCCAGGATTTAGGGAACAGACAAAGCCTGAAGGAATGGAGAAATGACATGTCCTACTTCTGAACACTCACTGGCTCCCAGGATTTTCTGGAGGAGCTCTGCTAGTCTTGATCCTAACAGGGGCCGGCGCGGCTTCATGGATGCTGTGATCAGCATCTACTGTCTACCCAGGCCTGGCTTCTGAGCTTCTCTGGCTGTCACCCACACTGAGCCCACCAGACACTTCTGCCCTGCGTGGTCCAAGTCCAGACTTGATTCTGTCAGATACAGTAATGTGAAACACTGTCCCCTCAGATGACCCACCAGTCTTCTATGTCATTTCTTTGGCTAGCAGTGTCTTGCCCACTTCAGTATCACAAGCTACTCACCTTAACCCGAGGGTTGGCCAGCAACCCAAGGAAATTAAAGGAGGCAAAGTTGACACACTCTTTTCCATTCACCACGATGTTGTGGGTCGGAGGGCTGGGGAGAAAGAGAGGGCATGGTTTACTTCAGTACCCATCTGGGCATGAAACAGCAGGCACAGCAACACTGTGGAGCCATCTCTCTCCACCCCTTTCCTTTGTGCTTTCTGGTAAGTCAAAGAATAGTAAGTTAAAAGTCAGACACTTTCCCATCAGCTCTGTTAACTTGTTCCCTTACAACTTAACAGGGAAAAAAGTGGGGGATTGTGGGAAAGACAGCAGATGGCTAGGGTTTGGTTCTCAGCACAGACGTGGTTCTTCCCACTACTTCTACGCTAATCCCAGGAGGCCTAATGCCCTCTTCCGACCTCATGGACAGCGCACACACAGAGTGCTTTAATACCAAGAGGCTTGATGCCCTCTTCTGACCTCATGGATACTGCACACACAAGGTGCTTATACACGCCAAACACATACACACGAGTGAATCAGAATCAATGTATAGTCTGTTTTTAAAAAAGGTGATAAATGAATGATAAATCTTTGATTTTTAAAACTTAAAAGGAGAAAGTAGCTAAATAAAATGTCTAAAACTGTAATAAAACAATAATGGATCAAGATCGAAGGCAAGAATAGTCAAAGTGAGTTATGATCACTTTTAAATGATTTTAAAATGTCATCTACAGCAGTCCACTGAAAGAATACTCATTTCAGAGTTAATGCTGAGACGGTCTTTTAACGCTCCCTTGTGCTTGCTCACCCTCAGAAAAGAATCACAGGAGCCAGCTACATGAGTCCAGACGTGAGCACAGCTGAGGTGAGAGACAGACCCTCGGGGAAACAAATGACAGTCCTTAGCTGACAACACAACAGACAGACAGACAGACAGACAGACAGACAAACAGACAGACAGACAGTCAGATGCTGGAGAACTCCTGTCCAAGTGAGGAAAAGGACTGTGTCCAGAACTGTGGCTTCAGCTACACTGCTGCCTGGCTGTCTATGGTGAGCCAGACAGAACTGGCACTCTGCACTCAGGGACACTCATTTGTTTATTTTTGAGTAGATCTGGCAACTTAGGAGGAAAGAGGTACACAATTCTGGAAAGCTAGAGAAGAGACAACCTGAAATCAATTCATAGACATGGACTAGATCATATAATATGGATGAAGACTCAGCATTTGGGAGGCAGAAGTATGAGCTCTGTGAACTGGAGGCTAGCCTGGTCTACATAGTGATTTCCAGGCTAGCCAGGGCTACATAAAGAGATCTTGTATTAAGAAAACGAAACAAATGGAAAGAAAATGAAAAAAACCTCTACAAAAATATAAAAGAGCACAAAGGAACATAGAGTAGGAAAAAAATCAAAAGGGCAGTGACCACAAGTTCCAAAACCAGAGTCGGGGAGAAAACAAAACAGACACAAGGTGGGTGGATGGAGAAAGGGAAAGAAGGAGGGAGGGAAAGAAGGAGGGAGGGAAAGAAGGAGGGAGGGAAAGGAGGGAGGAAAAGAAGGAGAGAGGGAAAGAAGGAGGGAGGAAAAGAAGGAGGGAGGGAAAGGAGGGAGGAAAAGAA